GGGGGAAAAACAGAAGGCTATACGGTACGCTTGCCACATGGCTGTAGACTGCCTAAAACGGAAGGCACTCCTGGCTGATGGCATAGAAACAGAGATCAAGGCCGCACCATCAACCTGATGAAAAGAAGGGAGCCAAAATGTTTCAATCATGAAAGTGAAGCAAGACAGACATTTCACCGTTTACAAACTTTCCTTCCTTTTCTACTGTTGCAGTGAGTACTTACAAACAACAATACGTACTTAAGTGAAGAATAGTACTTACTTAAGGTAGTACACAGCGATAACGGCGATTAACACTGACAACAGAATGATGACGACAATGAACGATATGGCAAGAGTGAACCTCGAGTTGAACGTAGCGGCTGTCGAATCGTGAGCTGTTGTATAAAACGAAACGACATCAAGAACGAACGAACAAAACGAAGACACAAAAGCAGTTAAGCACACCTGAGAAAGGTACTAGTGAATGGCTATATACAGGTTTGATGTTCAGGTTGCAGAAGTCGGCGTCGAAGCAGCACTTGATACTTTTTGGGATGTAGTGGGGCGACAAATGGCTATGGCACTGAAACGAAGGGCCAGTAAATGAGAAAAACATGGGGAAAAATGAAGCAAAGCAAACACGATAAAACGATTACCTGCAAAGCCGAACCACCTTCCTCGGGTGGTAAACATCCATAATAGTGCAAGGTTTCGGTCTGTTTGGCGTCAACGTTATAAGTCTCTTCGATAGCGTGGAAGCATTGAGCGCCAGGCTTTGTGACGCATGTATCGTTCACGCAGCCGACTGAATCCGAACAGAAACACAGCAAAGGTGGCAACTTTGCCGGGGGCATGTGAAGGGTTACGTTGATGGCCGTTCAAGAAAAGTCCATGATCGCGTGAGGACCAGCTATAAGACACAACGTATGAAACTGATCAATAAATGAATGGTCGTTCGACTAGCGCCTACGACTGATCCGCGCATCAATGGCACAAAAAAATACAGTACACTTTTAACTCACACACAAAGAGGTGATACCTGTCTTTGACCTCTTCGGCTGCCATTCTCGCAAAACAAAACAAAGAACACCGATCAAACCACGCAAAACAACGGTGCTGCTGTTAAAGCACCGAGAAAAAAACCAACAGCATCGCTGCATCACCGTCTGATTGCCGTCGTAAATTTTCAGCGATGATATCGGCTGAAAAAATCGCACCACCGAAGATTGATGACCACCGAAACGCGACGGGACGAATGGAACTTGTCAGCTGCGACGATCGTGCACGATGTGACACCGAACCGGTGAGGGTGGAACGGCAGTGTGACGCGAAACGAGCAGCGAAATGCGATGTGTGTACGGCTGATGATCATCAGCGGTCCCGCCTGTCGGGATGTGTGCCAAGTCGGTTAGACAAATCCGGCTCGACCTTAGGGCGCCACTCAGTCGACGACTAACTGTCAACCGTAGTGACCCGCTAGACGGCGTTTTAGACGTTACTATCGTTTGCACCCATTAACGCGAAAATATCTCACGCCTTCAGAAATTAGAAAACTTTGTCATAACCATCCTGCTAATGCTGTCGGCCAGAAAATGAATGTGCACAAAAACTGTGGCTCATTTCGCTATGCAAACAACAAACACG